CTCGAGTTGTGAGGCTGAGATCTACGCCGGGGCCATGGCTGCACAGGAGCTTCGCTGGCTCACCTACCTGCTGACCGACCTTGGAGAGCCGCCTCGTTCTCCTCCAGTCCTGTACGTAGACAACAAGGCCATGCTGGCCTTGTGTCGAGAGCAGCGACTGGAGCACAGAACAAAGCACATTGCTCTCCGCTACTTCCTTGCTCGTGAGCTACAGCAACGTGGTCAGTTGCGGCTTGCATACGTGGCCTCTGAGGCCAACACTGCTGATGTCTTCACCAAGGCACTTCCGCCTTGTGATCATCAGCGCTTCTGCACTCAGCTGGGTCTTGTGCCCGTCTTGCCTCACTTGCTCTCCTCTTGACCTTGCCTGTACTCTCACATATATATATACCTGCTCTTGCTTGTCTAGCTTTATATATATGTGTGTACTCTTGCATGTGAACTGGCCGTGTGGCCTTGACCCTGTGCTCGGACTGTGTGGTGACTTTGTGATCCACCCTGAGCTTGCTTTGCTTTACTTTGCTTGACTGGTCTTGTGACCCCTTGTTCTCCCCCACTTTGCCTATGGGGGTGTGTCAGAACATTGTAGCTTATGCTGTTGTGTAGGCTATAGTGGGGTATCCCATAGGGGGTACAACCAATTAGGGTTTCATATTTGTACTCACTTCATTTCATAGTTCACCCATTCTTGTTCAAATCTTCTCACTAGGACCAGCAGCTCCAGCACGTCCAGGACCTCCAGTACCACCAGCTCCAGTACCTCCAGCACCAGCAGCACCACCAGCTCTGGCAGCTCCAGCACCTCTAGTACGAGCACCTCCAGGACCAGCAGCTCCAGCACCTCCAGGACCTCCAGTATCACCAGCTCCAGTGCCTCCGGCACCAGCAGCATCTCCAGCACCCGCAGCTCCAGCACCGCCAGCACCACCAGCTCCAGCAGAACCTCCAGTAGTACCTCCAGCACCACCACCAGTACCTCCAGCACCAGCAGCTCCAGCGTCTAGGTAACTCCAAGCTCCAGCACCAGAGCGGCCTCGGCGAACGACCCACTCACGAAGCTGTTGCGGTGAGGGTGTCTCGAGTCGACTAGGTGGCTGCTGCTGTCCAACACCAGGACCTGCAGCAGGAGCACCCACGGCCCCTCCACCACTAGGACTCGCAGCACCTCCAATCTCAGCACCCCCAGAACCAGTACCCCCAGTCTCAGCACCCCCAGTCTTAGCACCCCCAGTCTCAGCACCCCCAGGACCAGCACCTCCTACGTCCTCACCCCCAGTGTCACCACCCCCAGCAGCACCAGTGTCCACAGCTACAGGCTGCAGAGGTGGTGAAGACGGTCGAGGCGGAAAACTAGGAAGGGTCTCCAAGCGTGGAGAGCGACGAGTGGCCGCAGTGTAGTCATCGGCAAGGTCACCCCCCTCAGCCGGGCCAGTGGAGTCAGAAGAGGTCTCCAAAGGCTCAACCAAGGGGGGTGGGTCTACCTGAGACACACATGAGGGAGCAGGACCCTGTTGGGGGGAGGGGGTCTACCGGGGGGGAAACTGGTACTAGGAAGAGAGGCGCCAGGGGGATCGGGTGGGACGCGTGCGGGTGGGGCCTGTAGAAACAAACCGACTCGTCAAAGGTGACGTCCTGGGAGGAGAACACGCGACGCGAGCGAGGGTAGTAAAACTGCCACGGCGGGGCGTCCGAGGGGAAGCCCAGGAAGGCGAAGCGGAGAGTGCGAGGAGAGAGCTTTCCCGCGGTGGTATCGCGAACAAGGGAGAGCGCGCCCCAGACCCGAAACGCCGACGCATCGCCAACTTCTCCCGTCCGAGTGTGGGCGAGGTCTCTGGCAAAGAGACACGGGGCCAGAGGTTGAGTTGATGCGCAGCGTATCGGACCGCAAACGACCACAGAAAATGGGGAGCAGCCGCATGGATCATGGAGGTACGAGCAACCTCCATGATCAAGCCAATGCGACGCTCAGCAATCCCATTTTGCTGCGGAGAGGCCGGAAGCGTGAACGTCTGGCATATGCCCTCGTCTTGACAGAATTCTGCAAGGAGGCCGGAATAGAACTCACTACCCCTGTCAGAGTGCAGACGCAGGACTGGAAGGTCCCGCCGGTACCGCTCGCGCACCTGGTGACGAGTAGCGCGGATCGAGGGGATCAAAACACCGCTGACGTCCGCCTTGCTGCGCAAGGGGAAGACGGTGGTGTAGCGCGTGTAGTCGTCAACGACCAGCAGGAAGTAGCGTTCCTGGTCCATCCCACTGACGGAGGCCGGGCCCACACGTCCATGTGGAGAGTCTGTAGAGGAGCAGTAGTCGGAGGAAATGAGGAGGAGTGAGGAGCAGCGCGCTGCCACCCCTCAACGCAGGGAAGGCACGGCGGGGCAGGCGAGTGCGGGAGGGGGGGCAGGGACCTGGGGAGGCCAGAGACAAGGAGACGGGAGTGCATGGTGCGGAGAGCGCGGCTGCAGGGGCGAGCGCGGGCTGCAGAGGCGAGTGCGGGCTGCAGGGGCGAGCGCGGGCAGCAGGGGCGAGCGCGGGCTGCAGGGGCGAGCGCAATCTGCAGGGGCGAGCGCGGCTGCAGGGGCGAGCGCAGGCTGCAGGGGCGAGCGCGGGGTGCAGGGGCGAGCGCCGCTGCAGGGGCGAGCGCGGGCAGCAGGGGCGAGCGCGGGCTGCAGGGGCGAGCGCGCCTACAGGGGCGAGTGCGGGCTGCAGAGGCGAGCGCGGGCTGTAGAGGCGAGCGCGGCTGCAGGGCAGGGCGGCGCGCGGGCCTAAGGGCAGGGCAGCGCGGAACGTTCGGTGGGCCCTAGGAACGATCATGCTCTAATACCATGTTAAAATAGGAAGACAGGAATGATGAATGACTAGCAACAGGGAGATACAAGTATGAAACCCTAACTGGGGTTGTACCCTATACTGAGCACCTCACTGTAGCCTAGCAGAACTAAGAACATACAAACATGTTTTGACACGCAGGTCCTACCGTATTACCCCGGATATAAGCGCACCTGCGCTTATAATAAAACAGTGTTTTTTAGGGGGGTGCGCTTATAATTGAGTCAAATTTATAAGCGCATGCGCTTATATAATGGCAAATACATAATTATGATTTAAAGCACCAAATTGTGCATCCCAGTACAGTTGCATTTTCAATCAAATCGAAATGGGCGTCAGAATCGCGCGAGGGCGATTTTCTGCCGGCGCACAGGGGCAAGGACACGTCAAGCTTGCCCCAGCCCAGTGTATGAGCCAATCACATGCAGTCGCTCGCTCAGTGAACAGCCCCCACGGCTGTGCTGTCAGTCAGCTTCGCCCCAGGCCAGCATACGAGCCACTCGCGTGCAGTCGCTCGCTCGCAGCGCACAGGCACGGCCCCTTTTCCCACCCCCCCCTTCGCCCCGAAAGGGCTGTCAGTCAACGGCTTCGCAAGGTTCCGCCTTTCCTGATCGAATCGCCCGTGCTCAAGAGAGTCAACCGAAGTACGGCAGAAATGGATGTGGGTGGACTCGCTGCAAAACAGGGAATCGTTACCGTTTTAATCATGATTTAAAATAAAATTTGTACATGCGCTTATAATAAATCAGGGTTTTACAGGGGGTGCGCTTATAAATGAGGATCGGCCATAAGCGCATTGCTCCAGATATAAGCGCATGCGCTTTTAATAGGCCTGCGCTTATATCCGGGGTGATACGGTAACCTAACTGATTCCATATCTTCAGTTAAAATCAACAGGATGACTTGCAGAGAGGCATACATGGTTCATAATAATAAAGTTGTACTCACTATAAAATACCCCAATCTAACCAACCTAGCCCATCAAGATATATAACAAATATAGTTTGATAGCATGGATTTGCCTTCCTTGAGTAACGCCACAGGAAACGCGTGATATTTTTTTGTACCATACACGTTCATCAGCTGTACCCTCCTCATTTTACTTTCCGGATGGATATAACTGGATGAACCTTTGTTTGTCGTTTCATTCCCTTCTCTCCCCCTCCCCCTCTATGGGCATTTCTTTCTCTAGGCGACAGCGAAAGCGGCTCAGTCAGAAGGTTCTGATTCCGATGATGATGATGCTCCTCTGTTCCGCAACCCAAATCATGGTGCTGGGTAGGGGAGAGGAGGTAGAGGACGGGAGGAAGAGGAGGGGAGGAAGAGGGGGATGAGGAGGAGGAAGAGGAGGTAGAGGAAGACGACGAGGGATAAGGTTTTGAAACCTGAAGGTTAAGGCGAGGGAGAGGGGGAGAGCACCAAGCGGGGGCAGTGGGGGAGAGGGAGGGGCACGGGAGGCAGGCGAAGATGAGTGCAGTGCAGGCAGGCATCTGAGCTCAGCACATTTTTTCAGCGTTGCTGTAGATTTCTAACGAGAACACACACCCTGGATTTGCCACCCCCAGGTGTTAGGCCTCCTAGGCTTCAGCGCATAGTCCTGCTTGCATTTGCAGAACCGTGGGTTGCAGCGCAAAAGACAAGCAGAATAGCCAAGACATCATTCCGTTCTTTTCATTAGTTATTCAAAGCTAACGATTGGTCTGAAACTGGAAGTAGACACTATGGTACAACATACGGTACCATTGAGCAAGCAACAATTCTAGTACAACACACTAAATGACAGCAAAACTGGTTCGTCTCCTCCGAGCAACCACATGCCGTTGCCCCCACCGATCCGACGTCCTCCTGGCGTGCCAGCTTGCACCTCCTTGCCCCCTGCCCATCCAACTAGTGTCACCCTTTCTTCCCTTGCCCACCAGCCCCTGCATAATAAACATAGTCAGTTCATGGTTGCAACGGGAGGGGGCAAATGGAGGGGAGGCAACAGAGCAAGACGTGAGATGAGACAGAAAGATGGTAGAGCCCACCAGTGCAGAGCAGGCAATGCAGAGCCCGCTCCTCATCGTGTAGCCGGCGTCACACTGGCAAATACACGACAAGTTGCCATGTATATACACGAGGAGTTGATTCTTTCTTGTTGGCAAACATGCAACAAACGGCAAGGCACCTACGACGAGGAGCAAGAGACGGGTCGCGGCAGAGTTTCTTAGCGGCGTTGAACACGAGGCCCTCGGGGCACTGGCACTGCGGCTTACCCTCCTTCACAACGCACTGTGCAGTTCCACAATCGTTCTCACACATGGCTGTTGTGGGCACCACAGAGAGACAAACAATCCAGGCATGTAAAGAAAGAGGATAGCTTTTCACACATAGAGAGGCAAAAAAAAGAATCACAAAAAACGGAGGTTGGGTGTGTGTCTTGCTCTCTCTTAGAGAATCTCTCCTGTGTCTTTTGAGTCGACTCAAAAGTCATGTTTCCCGTGTCATCGAATTTGTCAGAATGAGCAAAAAACAAGTTAGCCTGCTTAGAACCCTTAGTATTGCGTGCATGCGATTGCACTTACTCATCTCGCAGCCGACTGATACCGGCGAAAATATTCTTTTGACAGTCCTGAGAGAGGGAGAGGTAAGGATAGGGAAGACAAAAGGTGAGGATAGGTAAGGAGAGGGAAGACCAAAGGTGAGGATAGCGAAGATGAGGGTGAGTTACGTAATACTACAACGGTCAAGCACTTTCTGCAAGCACACCAAAATAAGTCACACAAGTCGTGCGAATCACGCTCACACACCTTTTCGTGACGGGGTAGGAGCGGCCCTTCTTCGCAGGGCGTGCGATCGTGAAGACCAGCTTCTCCGTGCAGTCCGGCCCGGCGTAGAACGACAGGCGCTTGCACATGGCGTTGGTAAGCGGGAAGCACAGCTTTGGCGTTGCCATGTTGGCCACACAGGGCTTGGAATCATTCCACACGACGGTGACCTTGGTGGTGCCCTGGAGGACGGTGTACGCGCCTGTGCCGGTGTACAGGTCGCTGCATGCCGTGCTGCCACTGGCCTGCTCTGCCGGCACTGGCGACAAGAAGGCGGTGCCCACCATGGGGTTGCCGCTTGCCTGCACCTCCACCGTCGTCCGCACCACGGAGGCTGACCGGCCGTTGACGCGATGGTTGGTGCGACGATGCCAGGTCGTGGCCGTGAAAGGTTGCGTGAAGGGGTTTGGAGGCAGGACAAGGGGAGAGGAGAGGAAAGGGGCAGACTCGGGGAAGGTGCGGGAGGGGTGAATGTTCCAAGCGTTGCCTCTCAGCGTGAAGGTCAAGTTGGAGGCAGGGCAGGGGAGAAGAGCGGAAGGGGGGCGGGAGCGGGGGGGGAGGGAGGAAGATGCGGGAGGAGTGAGGAGGGATGAATGTTCCAAGCGTTGCTGCTCTCAGCGTTGCCTCTCAGCGGCGACTCTCAGTGCAGCCTGCTGAAACGCTGAGATGCTAAAATGCGAGTGCCTCAAGAAGTGTATCGCCTACAGCTCACCACTGCAGCACTCACCAAAGCACGTCTTGTCAGCTTCATTGAAGCTAAGACCTTCCTTCTGGCATTTGCACTCGAATTCGGTAGGACTGAAAGGAAGGCAGGAAGCCTCAACCCCACACTCCACGCCGGCACACGGGTCTGCAAAGGAAGCCATGGGGGTTCCGAGGTGAAGAAGTGAAAGCGGGTTAAATGAGTGAAAATGTTGCTTGTGATTGTGAACTGTGAACTCGCCCACACACGCACACCCACTCGCCCACACGCGCGCACTCACCCACACACGTCTTGTTGTCTTCGTCGAATTCAAAACCAGGCTTGCACACGCACTCGGCAAAGGCGGATACAGGGTCCGTATCAATACTGCAAAAACCTTCCCCACAGTCCAAGTTGGCACACAGGTCTGCACAGAAATCGTTATCATGTCGGCAGGGACAGAGAGACACACACGCCAGCACAGAGGCCACGTAGGGAAAGGGAGTTGAATCAAGATAGGCTATGCTTATGATTGGGCACGATCACCCACACACTCCAGCACTCAACCACTCGCCAGCACTACAAATCTACTGCCAGTTGTGTGTGGCAGTCGGCCTACTCACCATCAGCACACTCACACTCACATGCACACGCACAATCACTAACACACCAGCACTCACCCACACACTTCTTGTGGGCTTCGTCGAATACAAGACCATCCTTGCACACGCACACGGGGGTGTCTACATCCATGGCGCAGGTAGCTTCCCCACAGTCCACGTTTGCACACAGGTCTGCACAGACATCGAGAAAAGAGGCAAAGAGGCACACACACCAGCACAGAGGCCCAGTAGGAAAGGGAGTTAAAACAAGAAAAATTCTGCTTATGATTGTGCACTCCCCCACACTCCAGCACAAAACCACACGCCAGCACTACCAGCCTGCTGCCAGTGGTGTGTGCCAGTCGGTCGCTACTCACCATCAACAGCGCTGGCGTGGGTCGCGAGGAAGCTGATGGCAACGACACCCGCGACGAGTGCGGCGAGGCCACACAGGCCGGACAGGCGCGCGCAGGGCTTCATGGCGACAGGCGACTGCGTAGTGATCGAGGCGCGGTGGGAAAATGGGGAGATGAGGATTGGAGATCAACGGCGCGGTGGGAAGAGCTTCGGCTTCTTTCACGTCCGGAGTTGCCGTGCCGTGCTGCGGCCCACGTCGCTGGTAGTAGTCGCGACGGCAGTGGCCGGCGGCGGCTTGCAAGCGCTGGCAGATTAGAATAGGAGCGACTCGATGCCCAGAAGGGAGGAGACGAGATGTGGAGAGGCACGCAATGCCAGAGAGAAGCGGTGTGAGAGGAAGGGAAAATGTGTTATTGTGGGTTCGAAAAGCGGCGGGCGACGATCTATGTGCTGAGAGTGAGTGGTCGATAACTCTCGCGCGTCGCCTCTCTCAGCGGCGGATAATCCAACGCGTTCCATCGCGGAGAAATGAGGCACGCCGCAGCGGCCGTGAGAAGCAAAGGGTGTGATAAGGGGAATCGCCGTTGCGCCGAGCCCAGCGACGTCTGCATGGGGATCGGCGGACCTTAGGATGCGGCCTCTGTCGTGGGGACCTGGCCCTCGGCGATCGTGTTGGCGCAAGTCAGTGCGGGGTGTACTAGCAATTCCGCCATGACGGCCGCAGGGGGAAGAACGCGGTAGGGAGGAACGCGAAAGAAGTGACGGACGAGACGGGGACGTGAAGCCCTCCGAAAAGCGTCAGGAAGGGCTTCCAACGTGCGCCTGGTGAACGCGTTGAGTTAGCTAACAACACAAAGCGGGACTCGCGGGAAGGCGCCAAGGCAGAATGGCTTCCGCCTCAAGTACAGTTGTGCGCTTGCGCATACCGCACGGGGTCCTCGGATCAACTGCGAGATTTGCGGAAGAGAGTTCTACGCCAGGCGAACGCGTTTGATGCGACAAGAGGGGGTCGTACTTTTTGTTGCGGGATCGTTTCACGTGGTTGAATTCGGTCAATTACGTTAGGGCGCGGTTTTTTTTTAATTCACTGTTTCAGACCACGCACCTGGATCAACCATTAAGAACGAACCCGGAACAAAAAGGTGTACACTGCCCTTACACTACTCCCTCCCTTAAGAAAGGCGGTCAATATCCGCAGCTCGCTTGCGGGCTAGGTAATCACCAAGAAGCGGGGAAGCTTTAAGCGAGGCGGATGGCACCCAAGTGTCGTCTTCACTGGTGTGGTCTGTCCAACGGACTAGAAAGTCCACGTGGCGGCTACAGGTGTCGAGCCGACACGATGCGCCAAAATTTTCGACGGGTCGAATGTTGGTTCCGGGACAGGGCGAGTGATCGGGGCGGCATTCTGCCGGACAATGTCTGTCGTTGCGGGCACGAACTTGCGAAGGAGGCTGACGTGGAAGGCGTCGTGCACACGCCAATCGTCGGGTAGCAGCAACTTCGCGGTGACAGATGTTACCATCTTCACGATGTGGAATGGTCCACAAAATCGTGGTCGTAGTTTGGACGAGCCGGGTAGGCGAAGGTTCTTCGTGTCGGGCAGAAATAGTTACCCGGCTATCATGATAATTTTCCATCGCAGAAGATCCGCGTACTTGCAGGCAGTGGTGTTAGCCTTGCAAATAGCATCTGTTACGATATGAAATTCAATAAAGAATGCATTCCTGTATGCTGCATGAGCCGACTCTACCGAGTACGAAGTCGAGGAGTCAGAAGAGACGAAGCGACACCAGCAACCATCTGATCAAGACCGATGCAGGCAGAAACATTTGCAAAAGAGCGGGAACAGGTTTGAAACGGGTTCCCGCGCCGCACGGTTTGAATTCAATGTAATACATGAATGTACCCCTTAGAGTACATGGCTAGTCTATGTCGTTTCGCATTCCTTTGTATTTTCTATATAAACTCGACGCATGCATGCTATTATCATCTCAGTCATTTACATTCACTCTGACCTGAGGTCAACACTTCCGCTGCAACATTACCTGCGACCAACCCTGAGCCGATCCCTGGCTAAGTCCTGTTCAGGATTATAACATGGTATGAGAGCTACTCAGGGATTATTCGCAACTTCACTTCCGTGAAATTTGTCGAACCAAGATCTGGTGAGCGGCACTCGCTCCAAGACCAAGATGGCCGGAGGATCCGGAGGCCAAAAGAATATGACGGCCGAAGGACAAACCAACCCGGCTGCGACAAATGAGGCGACAACTACGATAAGCACAGCTGCACTCGAGCAGTTGTTTTCACGACTGTCAACCATGGAGAAAGATCTCCAAGCATTGCAGAATGGCGACACGGGAACCTCTTCCCAACCGGCACAACCCCGTCAACCGGCTGCGAAAAAACGAGATACCGCCCCGCACACCTTCTCCCTCGACACAGACAAATCAACATCAACTGCCCCCTGTCCAAGTGATGAAGTTATCAACTTTGCGCAAGCACGCTTTCTGAGCGTCTCAAAAATCAAGACTACCGCCGCAATTGACGAGAAAGACATTTATACATAAAGTTTTGAGCTAGAGCTCCTCCTACAGACAGCACAGATCTACCACTGCTTCGATGGCTCCTACTCTAAACCGGTGGAAGACACATGACGCCTGCGGAGCAACTCGGCATCCGCTCTTACAAAGAGAGCGCCGCTCCAGCCCTGGAAGCCTGGAAGCACCTTGTAGAGGTATATCAGCCGAAGGACTCAGTCACCTCCAGCAGGCTCCTACAGCAACTCATGGAGACCAAGATGGGGCACGGGGAGAAAGTGAATACATACATTAATCGTTGTCAAAACATTCGTG